ACAGGAACGTGCTCAGTCGGTGTTGAACTGCCTGAATATATTCAAGAGCAGGACGGCGGTCCCACTGAAACAGTTCCAGAGGCTCCTGGGGCATATGGTAGCTGCAGCGGCAGTCATGCCGCTGGGACTGCTTCATATGAGACCACTTCAACACTGGCTCCATGGCCGAGTCCTGAGGTGGGCGTTGCAATGAGGCACTCACCGGGTCCAAACCACACCGGCCTGCTGCCAAACCTTCACCCCGTGGTCAGACCTTGCGTTTCTCCGGGCAGGAGTGCCCCTGGAACAGGTCTCCAGGCATGATGTGGTTTACACGGGCGCTTTCGAGGCAAACACATGCTGGTCCGAAGTTGTGTTCGATCCAGATTTGAAATTTGACAAGCAGGTTAATACTGTGGTTAAGAGCTGTTTTTTCCAGATTAGGACTCTTGCTTTATTAAAACCTATTTTGTCGATGAAAGATTTAGAAAAGGTTATTAATGCCTTTATATTGTCTCGTCTGGACTATTGTAATGTTTTGTATGTGGGGTCCTGCTGTCAGACCATTATTTCACGCTTACAACTAGTTCAGAATGCAGCAGCTAGGCTGCTTGTGAGTGCTAAGAAAAGTCAACACATCTCTCCTATCTTGGCCTCACTCAGATGGCTACCAGTGGGTTTCAGGATAAAATATAAGGTTCTGTTGTATGTGTTCAAGGCAGTGCATGGAATGCATACTCCTGCTTATGTGTCTGAGCTGATTACTTTCCGACAGTCATCTAGGTCTTTAAGAGGAACAAATAAGTTGTTTCTTACTGTCCCACAAACTCATTTAAAGCTGAAAGGGGATCAGGCCTTTGCTGTTGCAGGTCCACGGCTTTGGAATAGCCTACCAGCTGAGATCAGAGAGATTACATCCATAAATGTTTTCAAAGCTGGGGTTAAAAATTATTTCTTGTCATTAGCTTTTAAGGAGTTGAGCTAGTATCTGTGTTTTTATTTGGATTGTTTGTGTTTTAATGTATTGTATGTACCTGTATGTTGATTGTACAACACTTTGGTCTGCAGGTGTTGCAAAAGTGCAAAGTGTTTTATAAATAAAAGGAATGAATGAATGAATAATATGTACAAATTACCGGTACTATTTTTAATGTTTTCGCTCATCTAGCCTGCATTTATTTAATCAAAAATACAGAAAAAAAACCAGTAATATTCAGCAAGGATGTCAGCAAGGAAATTTATCAATTTTAAATTGATAAAAAGTGATAGTAAAGACTTACAGTTAGGTCCATATATATTTGGACATAGGCACAATTTTTTTTTATTGTTATTTTTGCTGTTAAGTTGAGAAGAAAATGCAAAGTAATTGTGTGACGAGCTAATTTTAATTAGGTAAATCAAACAGCAGAAAAAAATCATTTTACGTGAACACGATTTGTTGGAAATCTGAATCAATTTGAACATTTTCTTGCAAAGTGATTAGGCCTATATCATGTTTTGATGACTGTGTTGAATTTCATTTAGACTTTACGCAATACATTTATGTTTGCATCTCAAACATAAATTTATTAAGTAGACTGTAAGTGTATTGTTTTAGTAAATTCAGTAAAACTGCTTTTCCTTTTTTTCAGTGAGCTCGACTCACTGCAGTCTTTTCTCGACCTCTGATCATCTGTGTGACCTCAGAGCGTCTTCTCTCAATGGAGCTGATGAGTTCAGTAAAGATCCTCTCACTGCTCTCCACTGCTGTCTGTGCAGAGCGCTTTAGGACACACACATTACAATCAGCTGCTCACAGAGTCTGCTGTGCTTCAGTCTGACTGAAAATCACCCTCAATAACCAACTGAAGAAGAGTCTTAACTAAACCAGCGATGCTGCTTCTCCTCAGAACTCACCTTGTGAGTCTCCACAGCCTCTTTCAGCTCCTGAAGCTTCTTCTCTCGCTCCTGGATTTGCTGCTGGAATTCTCTCCGTGTCTCATCTAATTGTCTCCGTATTGGACAAAACAACAGCACATCACAGAAAAATGAGTGAAACTGAAAGTACAAAATGTTTCTGAGTGACTCCTGCCTTTGTGTCTTCATTTCAGAGAACTGGATAATCTTAGCGTCTGTCAGTCTGTACCTGCTTCTCTGTTCTCTCTGCTGCAGTTGATACAGTCTCATGATTTTTGTGTTCATCCACCATACAGAGCACACATATACAACTCTGGTCAGTGCGGCAGTACATTTCCAGTAGTTTCTCATGTTTAGAGCAGATCATCTCCTGAAGTTGTCCAGTGGCATCTATTAGATTGTGTCTCTTTCCTTTGAAGAGATTCTCATGTTGTTCAAGGTGATTTTGACAGAAAGAGTTCAGACACACCAGACAGGACTTGATGGCTTTGTGTTTTCTTCCAGTACAGATGTCGCACTCCACATCTCCAGGTCCAGCAGGAACAGCAGTTTGGTCTTTTTCAGTTGCTCCACCACTTCAGCCAGCATGGTGCTTTTATTTAAAGCAGGTCTTGGACTGAAGGTCTGTCGGCACTGAGGGCAGCTGTAGACTCTCGTCCGATCCTCTTGATCCCAGCAGTCTGTAATGCAGCTCTTACAGTAACTGTGTCCACAGGGAATAGTCACTGGATCCTTCAGCAAATCCAGACACACTGGACAGCTGAATTTATCCTGAGAAAACGTGGCTTCAGCCATTTCACTGCATGCACACACGGAGACACAACACAGCTGAACAGCACTTAAGTTTAATTTTCCTTGAAGTGGAGAGTTGATGTAATTTCCTGGTTCTGTGTGTGAGAGACGTGAGCAAAACAGGTGTGTCTGTGAAGTGAATTAAACTTGCTCTCTCATTCATAATACTAAGGTCCACCAGATGGCAGTCTCCTAAAGAAATACAGATGGAGTGAGCGTAATGCTGCACTATATTGAACTCAAACACACAAAAACCTCAAACTTTTCATGCATTTTATGTAGACTATTTACATTATAGACTAATCGTTTTCAAGGAAGAGAAATGTTGCAGTTAATTGTTTGTGGGAAAAATGTGACAGATGGACTTGTTTGATAAATTATACGCCTCAATTTTTATGATATACAAGTCTGTGTATATTTCAAATGAATGGGGTATAGAGTTTATTTCTTTATTTTATAAGGGGCTCTAATGGATTTGAAAGAAAATGGAAAATGTCAGGAAAAATAAATTTAGATTTAAGATTCAAGATTAACATATTTAATACACATAATATATCTAAACATACATGCTTGTTTAGTTAAATCTGGTAAGATTGAATCGTTTTTTTGTAGTAATTTGATGTTCATTCAGCACAAAGTTATGCAAAACAATACAGGAAGATAGTGTTTCTTCTTCCTGTTATCAATGCCTCACTCCATCCCAGGAGGTGGCGGAATCTGCTCCTAAAGCTGGTTTGCACCGCCATTAAACACAGAAGCAGCGAGAAAAGAAACATGGCGGCGGTGGAGTCTAGCATTTCTGTTGAAGTTTGACTGAACGTCTCTCCGCTGTTTCTTTAACTGAACGGTGTGAGATATTTTCTCGCCGGCGTCAAGAAGTAGTTTTACTGCAAGATGTTCGTGGCGAAGAGCATCGCAGCGGATCATAAAGACCTGATTCACGATGTTTCTTATGACTTTCACGGTCGGAGGATGGCGACCTGCTCCAGTGATCAGAGCGTCAAGGCAAGAGATCCCTGTCTGTCTGTGTCTGTGTGATCACATAAACCATAAACCCAGACAGCACTGAACCCTCTCACACCCAATTACCATCTGTGAGGGCGGTTCAGAAAGTTTTGAGACACGACCTGAGGTTTAAATGGGCAGAGACCTTTTTATAAGTAGAAAGGCCTTGCTGTGCATCAGCTTGTGAATCTTTTCCAGCTGCAGTTTAATTCAGCTATTATAGTGTTTTGAGTCTTGAAGAATTAATACCTGGTGTCTTGTGGTTCTTAAGCTTATGTGCCTGATTGTTCCCTATTTTAATGACAAACATTCTGGCTTTTTTTCTTTTCTAAACTAGGTCTGGGACAAAGGGGACGATGGAGAGTGGCGTTGTACTGCTAGCTGGAAGGTATGAGTTATTTCTGTTATGTTCTTTAGTTGTAAATCTTCGTCTAACCCTAAAATGCATAGCTTTAAAATTCAAAATGTCGGGTGCAATAGGTGCATATTTACATTTGGGCAATTTTGGTAGTTTAGAATTTGCGTGTATATATGATTTTATAATAATCATTTTTAAATAAATTAATATTTTTTAAATAACTTGTAATGGTAACACTTTATAATAATGTTCATTAATAAATAATTAACACATTATATAATGCTTAATGGATCATTAGTTGTATATTCAAAGAGTTAGAAACGTGAGATAATGTGCTTGTTAATGTTTGCTTAATAAACATTAGATTATGTTTAGAGCCCGACCGATATATCGTTTTGCTGATATTATCGGCCGATATGAGCCTGTCGCAGATATATCGGTATCGGCGAATATGCCGCCGATATGACATTTTTTTTTTACAGAACATATAATGCAGATAAAATGCCATATCTCTGTAACGGCGCGGCAAATCCGCACCAAATTCGGGGGATCCCTTAGCCTCGAGGAACCCTCGAACGCGAATCGAGTGTACGTCTAGAGGCCAACTTTCGAATGAGACCACCCCCGCGTGGATAGCCCCCGGGTTTGCAAATCCGCACCAAATTCGGGGGATCCCTTCAGCTCGAGGAACCCTCGAACGCGAATCGAGTGTACGTCTAGAGGCCAGCTTTCGAATGAGACCACCCCCGCGTGGATAGCCCCCGGGTTCGGGAGTTACGGGTGGTTAAATTCGCGGTCCGGCGCCGACCGATCTAGCAATCCCGTTGGGCTACCAACGCACGGAAGGTGGCATTCGAGAAGACTCCTCGAGCTGAAGGTATCCCCCG